ACACACACACACACACACACACACACACACACACACACACACACACACACAACTCCTGCACCTGCTTTTAATCAAGAAAGCCATTCCCCTCCCCACTCACTAACGTTTTTAATTTAACTCATAACTCACATGATCCATGTTCACCAGGTTAAAAAGCCACTGTAGAGCGCCCCCTGGTGAGCAACAGAATGCATGTTTAGCTTTTTTTTTTTTTTTTTGCATACAATCTCATCATCCTCTTTATTAGACTCCTCTTTTATACACATATACATATGCATACAAATATACAGTACAAGACATGTTGCATGTCCATAAACAATAATACAGTTTATATTTATGCTTCACTTTATTCCAGAGCAACATGGGACATTCTGCTGTTAGCATCGAACAATAAATGCATTTATAAGAAACAGGACATGGGGACAGAAAATGATTCGACAGACTTTAAATGGTTGAGGCATGTCAGCAGTGCAAACAGGTTTTTTGTTTTTTTGTATTTTTCCTGTAGATAATAAAACAATGTCCAAGCTTTAAAAGTAAGACGTTTTCTGAGACTCCAGCTTGAAGGTGATGGTTACTGGCTAAATGTTTGTGGCAGTTGTTTGTGTTTTTCCTTTGAGACAGCTGCATTAACAATGAATCATGCACATACAGTAGATGTGTTCCTCTGAGGTCCGTCAGAGCCAGATCTCCTCACTGCTTGTGCTGTTCACTTTATAGATGTAGCCCACCATCGGGTATCTGGCAAAACCTGGAAGCAAATCCCATTTGTACTTTAAGCTGCTCCTCTGCTGTGAAATGTAGTTTTTTTTATGTGTAAAACACAACAGATTCAGAGTTACTTTTCTGACCTCTCGCTGCGTAGATTAAAGACAGATCTTCCTCGTCCTCATCTCCTTTTTTCTCCTCTCCCACTCTGTTCCTCTGGGCAGCTCCTCGAGCTAAAAGACACAATGCAGGGATGAATCAGACACATAACAAAACACTACGTGGAGACAGTTTGAGGGAAATGAAGTTGGGTCATAGAGTTAAACGACACTAGACTGAGCTCTGCCTATCCTGTCCACTGCGTGCACCCGTGACACTGTAGGGGACCAAAAATGGCGTCCAAACAGGGCAACAGCTCACAACCAATAAAGCACTCAAAAAACTGATGTAGCAGATTTACTTTAAAACATTTTGTAAATATAAATGAAATATGTTACCTTTACTCAGTTGAGTAGAACAAGTTGCCACACAAACACACACACACATTTATATATATATATATGACTATCGACTGTAGACTATAGACTGTCTGACATGTAGTGGTAGATCATTCCACAGTTTTGGACCTGCTACAGAAAACGATCTGTCACCTCTCAGTTTAAGACGAGAGTTAGGAACCTTCAGAAGCAGCTGACCAGAGCGCTGAGAGACAAGTGGATGCACTAGATCTGAGAGGTAAGAGGGGGCAGAGTTGTTTAGGCCTTTAAATACATACAGGAGGATCTTAAAGTGAATTCTGAAATGAACTGGAAGCCAGTGAAGAGATGCTAGAACAGGAGTAATATGTTCTCTTTTACTTGTGCCGGTTAGAAATAAGGCTGCTGCATTCAGAACCGTTTGTAAACAAGCAAAATATCTGCAGCTTCATCATAAGTATAAGTATTGCTAAAGGGCTCCTGAGTGCCACCAGTGGKTTAAAGATTATAATAATTCATTAACATTTGTGATTTAGTCATAAATACAGAAACAATAAAACTATTTTGTCTTTGTTAACTTTAATAATGAATGCAAACTCAAAATGTTTCATTGTAACATCTTTCTACCAACAAAAAACACTGATTATTTCTAAAACTGATTCAGAGGTTTTGCTATGAAACTGAATCACAGAGGCTGCAGATCGTCACCTTCCTAAAATAATTGGCTAAGGCATTATTTGGCAAAAATAATAACAATCAAAAAGTGTCACATGTTAAATATTTGGTTCAGTTTTTTGTGTTTTGTGAAAAAAATGAATTAGATGATTATTTTCAGAAGGTGTAGGTTTTACAAAGTGAAATATATAGAGCTTTTAAAAAGTAAAAATAAAAAGCAACATACAACAAATCACTAATGAATTAGTTGTTGCTTTCTTTTGTCGTTTTACTGTGAGAAACGTATTAACTTATCTGTTTGATTGTCATAATGTTATATTTGATAAATAAATCATGACCTCACTGTTTTTGGCTTGAAATGTTTCTTGTGTTCTCAACGCTTGTCTTTATGCTCTGTATATATGTTTCATGTGTGCAGATGTCAGTTCTTTGTTGTTTGCACCTCTTTGTGTTGTTGAACTGGATGAAACTTACATCGCCTCAGGGTGCTGAGGTCGTAGAGCTGAATGTTGGAAGGCAGAGACATGTTCTCTCGGCGGATGTGGATCTTATCTGTTTTGTCAGTCTTCAGGTTCGCTGACTCACTGTGTGGATAATATCAAGAGATATCAAACTTGGATCAGAGGTGTTATTGATCTGCAGAGGCTTGTAGTTTTCCTGAGCGCATAAAAGGGCTTTCATCAGTGTTTCCCTTCCACTCTGCTAATGGAGGAAGAACGAGACGCAGCAGGAAGGTGAGCCAAAATACCCAGACATTGTTTGTGACGGGTCAGAGAGAAGTCTCATTTATATACAGCGGGTAAAATAAGTATTGACCGTCAACATTTTTCTCAGTAAATATATTACTAGAGGTGCTAATGACATGAAGTTTTCACCAGATGT